TCATGACATCGACATCGATAGAAGACCAAACAAATCATGCAAGCTTTGTTTTGCCTCTGGGACACCTCTTGGGCACCTCTTATGGCATCCACACTGGTTCAACTCCTCCGTGGAGGTTTTGGGATACGGTGCAACAGATTCAACAAGCTCACAGGTTCGTGAACACATCGGATGCATCGAACAGTGTGGCAAAGTCCAGCCACGCTTCCTTAATTATCGGGGACTTCAATTCTAAGGTTGGCTGTGTCATTGCTGTTTGTGTGTCTTACATGTTCACAACGTTTTACCTCATGAGCATTTGCTTCACTCCGCTTGATGTCCCACTAGTCCGGATGCACCCCTGCTAGCTTTCGTCACCTACCCTCGGCCTCAAGTTTGACACCAAGGCCCACAAGAAGACACAAAGAGCACAGAATGGACACAAGCAAGGCAAACCCTTTTGAAAAGAATGGAAAGCACCTGGGAAAATTGACACGGCAACCCCAAAAGTATGAAACCACGCTTTTGGGCAGACAACGCACTGGATCAAGGCTAACCTACTTGAGGGGAGGCGAAAACAAGGCAAGCCAACTTAAAAGGCATGGAAAGCACATAGGAAAACCAACCAGGAAACCCAAAAATACGAAGCCAACAACACGAAAATCACATTGGGGCCTAGAGCCAGTTCTTTTAGCAACAATTCTCACAAAAAGAACCAAGGGTAACCCATTAAAAAAAGATGGAAAGCACCTAAGGCACAAAGAGCACAGAAGAGACGGAAACAATGCAAATCAGCTTAAGATGAGAATTGTTTGACACCAAGGCCCACAAGAAGACACAAAGAGCAGAGAATGGACACAAGCAAGGCAAACCCTTTTGAAAAGAATCGAAAGCACCTGGGAAAATTGACACGGCAACCCCAAAAGTATGAAACTACGCTGTTGGGCAGACAACGCACTGGATCAAGGCTAACCTACTTGAGAAGAGGCGAAAACAAGGCAAACCAACTTAAAAGTAGCGACCGCGCACGCTCGCTTCTCGCTTTCCGTTGCTGGCCGGACTGGTTTGCAGACATTCTGTCAGAAAGCAATACTTGTCCTCAGTTTCACTCTGATTGTCAAGACAACACCTTTGCGATCACATCTCTTGTCTTCGCCCAAACCGGGCAGGATCTAAAGGAGCATTTCCGGCAACGCTGCGACGTCTCTGCAGAGTCACGTGAGCTCTTCCAGGCAAAAACTCCTAGGGTCCTAGGCGATTGAGTAAGCACCGGTGGGGGGCGAAGACGTGGCTTTGTAGCCTCACAGTACAATAATACTACAATACTAGTGCAATTGTTCGGAGGTTTTTCAGTTTATGGCAATTCTTTTTTGTCAGAAAGTGAAGTAGTGCTGACACAATAAACTTAAATGATTTCAGACTTCACTGAGTGATATATAAGTGACAGGAATGCAATGGCGAGAAAGGGGGTAGCAGCGGCCAGGTGCTGTTGGATAATACTTTCAGGACTCGGAGCACGAGAGATCGACAGGGGAAGATGCCCCGACGACTTCGGCTAATGAAGTGCCATCGGGTCGAGGATAGCTCTATGTGGTCTTCCTACCTCCTCAGTTTCTGGTTTGCACTTCAAACAGCTTCAAACTAGAATATATTGTAGATCAGCGAATGCCTCATTTGCTGATTAGCGAGCCGACAAGCAAAAGCGGAGTTCCTTTACCTTGAGCCCTGCCTCCATCATGCCGTGGTGGCTACTTGCCAATGTGCTGAGGACTTGCCAGGTTAAGGGCAAAGTGGTCGCGGTGTACTTCCATCAGTGAACACTACACTGCTGGGCAGGACGGGACTTGTTTCCCAAAGTCAGCAGAGTGTATTAATGTGGACGTTTTCCAAGAACACCTTTCATGTCAAACTATTTGCCAGTTTGTAAAGCAAGCTCGTGCTTCTATAAGCCTGTTTGGACATGACAAGGGTCAAAGTCTTTTCACAAGTTGCCAGAGATTGGGTGAAATAATTTTGTTAAATAGAAACAATCCAGACAGAAACCGACCTATCATGACGTATTTTGATGGATTCAATCCTTAGGACTCACCAGATGCCCAAGCAGGCGATGTTTGCACACACCAACCGCTAGGTGGCTTTGTACATCGCCTGGATGCCACGCTGAATGAGCGACCCAGTTTCAGTGCACTGTTTGTGGTTTTCCAGATTGAGATCATATGCAAAGATGTCAAAAGGGTGGCCAAATTTATCAAAAGAGCGACACTTCATGACACTTGAAACGCTATTTGGACCGAGGTTTTATCTCATGCACGGCACCAGCCCCGATGGCGCCTTGGGCATCACTGATAGCGGCTTCCGCCTGGACTTGACTGGCTCACATGCTGGAACCATGTTTGGAAGCTTGGTGAGTGACTTTGTCGTTTTATCATGTCTTTCCACAACGGAGGAATAACGAGCAAACTTGCTGGCAGGCCATTTCTGTAATCAGCTTTACAATGTTTTCGGACATTTGGGCTGCGAGCAAGCGAGCAAGCTGGAAATATCTACATCTACAATGATAGTGAACACATGACACATGACTGATGACTACCCAAACCGGACAGTGCATCATTGTGGAATCTGACTGCCAGTGGTTTCTGGCATTTGATAGAAGAGCTTTAATGCTTATTGCCACTTATTGCTGTCTATTGCGAATGGGGTAATTGGGGGCTTCATTGTGGGCTACTATTGGCCCTGCAGGATCACTCTGTGCACGCCCCACAAGTGGCTATCAGTCCATTTCCATCTCTCAGTACTTGTTGAGGTTGTTTCCCCGCAGCTTCGGCCAGTTGGGAAAGTTGCTCTGGACTTGGCTCGATAGGTTGAGAAGGTGTGATAAGCCCAATAGCTCGCAATGCCCCTGTAATCGGTGGTGGATGGGTGATGCATGGCCTTGCTTACCCAAAGAGAAAAGATCTGAACATATCTGAACATGTGTGAAGAGTGCGATCCTGCCTCATGCACCAGCTACGTAGCGGCAACACCACTAACATATACTTGTTAGTGTTTCGGTTTGACATTGCCTACCTGGTTGCAACCGGATTCATATTCACCAACTTGGACCATTACTGGCATGAGTCGGCCTGGGTGGACATGCCGTACTGTGTAGTTCCTGCAAATCACTGGCTTGGACGTGTTTGTATTGCAAAATTGACGGCTCACTGGTCGACTGTATGTATTTAATGACTACCTTCGTTTCATACCGTGGGCCGCGGTTGCTAAATGTGTGAGCTGGATCTACTTGCTCTCTGAACTTTTTGCGAAAAGTCGAAAAGTAGTCGATCCTCCGCGAAAAGCCGAAAAGTCGAAAAGTCTCGAAAAGTCGAACAATCTCGCTGCGTGCTTTCGTTTCGTTTATTTTTTGACTTTTCGACTTGCTGGCTTTTCTCACTTTTTTACTTTTTGCGTTTTGCTTGGTGTCTTGCAAATAGATCGTCGCTAAAGGATTTAGCGAGCTCAGCCTAACCACCCCTTCCTTCCTGGTCAGTGGGGGAGGCTTGTGTGGTGCAAATGCTTCGAGGAAATGGAGCATACTTTGCCGAGTGCTCTTCCAAGGCAGATGAGTCTCTTGGATAAATATTGAACTCACTGAGTGTTTGGCTGAACCTCCTGAACCAAGGTACTCCAGTGCAGGTGAGGGAATTTACGAGGGCGTCTATGCCATGCTCTTGTGTCGCGTTTGCTGTGGTCAGATGCTGCGGATGTTGCGGCCGGACCCAGCATTGGTGCAGCAGGCGATTGCCACAGAGCAAGCCTCAGCAGTTCTGGGGGATCGAGAGGCATGGATGCGAGTTTCCTTAAAAATCTAGGAACCAAATATTAGTTCGAGCGCTTTTTCAAGGAAGTTCTTCCCCGTCCTCAGGTGGGCTTCCTTGAAGAAGTGTGAGCTATCCTGCGTCCAGTAGGTAGTGCTCACGTAGCTACTAGCTACCCCTCTTCTACCTCAGCCTTAGCTACCCTACCTCGGCCTACCCTTTGAAGGAAAAAAAAGAAAAGAACAACCCATTCTATCTGGTCTATTGTAGATAGCAGTAAAATCAAAGGCTTCAGATCACATGGGACAATGCTCACATTATATATTTGATTGCAGCATCAAAATTGGTCAGGCAGATCAGTAGCTGTACTCGGACGTCACGTTTAAGTCATTGTTGATGCCGCCTTTCTTGTGACAACACAAATCCAGATACACTCGATGAAGGCCTCCGTGGGCACCTACCGGGAGTTTGTCGTCTTTGATTCGTCACAAGTCTATCCCGAGTATGTCATTCTCTACGAGCGTGAATTTTGAGAAGGCATTCATTTGGCTGATGCCAGCCGTGTGCTCCCGCTTACAATGTGCAAACGTGCGTCGATGAGTACGGGTGTGCCGGAAGTGGCTTTCTCTGCGTCGGTGGCAGCGCACTGTGCGCGGTGTCATTTTCAATCAAAACAGATTGCCCGCATCACCAGAAATCATTTGTAGAGCTTGTCCGCATGACGAAACTGTCATTGGAAAGGCTTGAAGCAGGTGTTCAGTTGCTGCATTTTCCTTCATTAATTGAACAGCAGCCTATCCCAAAGTTTTTGGGCTTCTGAAACATTCATGTTTGTGCGGTGGTTTGCGCACTCTATCGCCACTGTACAGCATCCGGCAAAATGGCTGGTCTCGTCACACTTGGAGCCTTTAAGGGGCATTTGCCAGCCAGAAAGGAATGTATGCACCTTTGATCTGCAAACGACTGCTCAATTCTCGCAAGTGGGAGTGGTGGAAGATTCAGCCCACCTTACTTGGCCACTTGCGTTCTCCAGCCTCGTCTAGTGGTGAGTAGGCGCTGTGTGGCGAGCGTTTTGGGTAAGACGACCTCCCGAATCATCAATCTTTCCAACCGGCTCAAACCCCCGGAAGAGGCCTTCTCAGCATCTTGCATGAGTGTTCGAATGAATTGTAGCAGTGAGAGGGTTTTTTGGAGCCGATTCGGTAATTGCCGCATCCTGCGGGCCAGGTCGAGATCAGTGGCGTGAATATTGGGCGCATGATATTCAAGTGAGACTGGCTTGTTTAAAAGCACTTGATTCTGTACCTTTGAAAACCTGACCGAAGGATGCTGAAGGGAACCTGGATGCTGTGTTGCCAGGCTCTATGATAACATTTGCCCCAAGACTGCAGAGAATTTTCGGTGCCTGTGCAATGGTGAACGAGGTGCGCTGAAAGCGGCAAGAGAGGTGAACCTGTGTGGCAACAGTTTTGCATCTCCTTGTCGTTCACAAGTTTGGATTTTCAGCTTGTCTTCAAGGGTTTGGCGCAATTTCAATTGAACCTGCTTCGTTCTAGAGTTGCAGCCGTGATCGCCAGGGACTGGCCTCATCACTAAGATGCCCTTGAACATTCAGGGTTCCAAGTTCTCTCCCAAGGAATTTGGCCAGAATTCGAAGTCAGAAGCTTGGAGAGCACGTAGGCTCTTGAGTACCAAGGTTCCACAGAGTCATACCCGGTTTCATGGCACAGGCGGGGCACCTTTGAGCTCATTTGTCGAAAGCCGAAATAGGAAAATCAGACAAGGTGTCTCTGGAAGCCAAGTAACACTATAAAAATTGATCAACTAGCTACTTAAGCTAGTAGTAACAAGTGCCTCGCTAGTAGAAACAAGTGCCTTACTAGTAGTAACAGGTGCCTTTCGTTTTGACTCAACCGCTCTCTTCACACCGCAGCGCTACAGTGCTCAACTGCCGGTACCTGTTTGGACCCAAGAGGCGAGAAGCAGATAGTGTGCGTTTTGTTCCTAGTAGTAAGGCCAGGAGCCCCTAGTAGCGCTCTTGTTACTACTAGTAAGGCACTTGTTACTAGTAGCGATGCACTTGTTCCTAGTAGTTTCTTGTTCCTAGTAAGAAGGCCCTTTGCTCCTAGTAGCGATGCATCTGCTACTAGTAGCTTCTTTGTTTCTTGCCTTGTGTTGCTTTCCTTTCTATAGTTCTATTGTTTTTCTTTGTTTGAGGAGTCATCTCATAAAAAGCAAGCTCATGGGCCTGATTGGGAAGTTCTTTGTGCATCCCAAATCCTTTTCCTGTATGCGGCCTGAACTCATTCCACTTAGACATCAAACATGTCAAACTATGCAGGAGAACCATGTCAATGCGAACGGGGTATAAGATTCCGACAGAGATGGACTTCCAAAGTGAACGAGCGCTGTACAACATCCTGGAGCCGAGGCAAGTTAAGTTTGTGCACCGATGTGCTACTGTAACTGAACGAACCTTTGTCCATTCAGTCATATGTGGTCCTCAGCTCGTGGCCTTTTCAAACAAAGATCTTGAACCAGTAGCAGAGCTGGAGGTACCACTATTTGGTGCCTGAGTGGATGAAGACAGCCTCAGATGCAGAGAAGCGGGGTGTCATCAAGCTGGCCAGGCACAGTCTTGTGGTCAAGCATGTGGTGGACAAGTGTGCATTAAACGCCAAGGGCCAAGCAGCGCATTTGAGTGACTACCTTTCAGAACTCTAAAGGGCACAGGAAACAGATAAAGAAGTTGGTTTGATGAGCAATCCTGTCCGAATCTCTTTGGATGTGCAGGATTGCTGAGCCAAAGCTGCTGAAGGCGATTGGAAGGCCAAGGCCCATAAGTTTAGAACACTTGCCGCGCCATTTGTTGTATTTGTTGTTGTTGTTCACATGGACAATGAAATCTACAGCTCATGAAGAAACGCATCAAGCACACGCTTGTAAACGATGCTTTTGAGTTAAGCTTCCCTAAACATCTAGGAGCCAAATGAATAGTGCGAGCGCTTCTAAAGGAAGCTCCCCCCGTCCTCAGGCTATCCTGCATCCTACCTAGTAGCTCAAGTAAGGTACTAGCTACCTCTTCTACTAGCTACCCCTCCTTCCTAGCTACACCTCTAGCAGCCTACCCCCACTTAAAAAAAGAAACAACAGGCTTTCAGAGTTTTCTCTTAGGAGTGACGCCTTCGAGCCAATGCTGAAGGAACACAACTGGTACTTCAAGAGAGGCGCTCGAATATGGCTAGGATACCAGAGTTTTTGTCAGACTCAGATGGACTTTGAAAAAGGCAAGTCCGAAACTCCAACCACTCTTGGCATGCTAAAGGCCCTGCATGTGGTAGTTGCCAAGCTGAGTCTGGAATTGTTAGCAGCATATAGCAACACACAAATCAGACGGCTCAGGGCACCTTAGGCACATTGTCTTCAAGATGAATTGTGATTGTGTGGACCCAGAATTTCTTCGCAATCGATGTTGCAGGCAATCCCTGTGATGAGCCCAAGCTCGACACAATCGAGAAATTTCCTGTCGATGCTTCTGAATATCAGGCTCTATGCTGGCGAAACTTTTTGCCACAGCTGCCTGTGAAGCACCTAATTAATGATTAGGTCTCAACCTATTCCCAGAGAGGAATTGGGATGAGTTGGAGAGGTAGAAGCAGTCTTAGCAAATGCTGCCTTAGTCCTTCATCCATCCAGTCAAGGGACTTCCCTGCTCAGTTTAAAAATGCCAGGTCCCAAGCTGGATGCATGAAGACCTTTATGAAGCGGAACAGATTCCCAAGCCCGGTGGTTGCATCCTGAAGCTGAAGGAGCAAAACGAAGTTCAACAACATGATTGTTTGCGTCTTTTGGATACGCAACCGATGTATATAGATCGTATCCGAGCAGATGAATCACAAGGTCAGGCAGGGACTGTTAGAATTCTGAATTCTGGTCTTACTTGTTCTTGGGATTTGGGGCCTGGTATTTCTTGCATCTACATATTGAATTGCAAAAACTGACAGGCTTCGCCCACCGGCGACGCCCTTCGGGGCACTGGCCCAGGTGGTGCTAGAAATGTCGGCCGCAAACCGACATTTCTAACATCACCGGGACGTATGTATTTAGTTGCAAAAAAACACATCAAAAACACATGAAACATGATCAAACATTGCTACTTTATATAAAGCTTTATCTCTAGAGAAGAAAGTATGCTAAGAGGAGATCCAGTTTTGAGGTAGCAGTAGTGTCGAGCACCATTGGCATCACCAGAAAACGAGCACCATTGTTCATAAACTACATACATGTTGCAAAAACATTGTAATTTACAGTGTTTTGCGCCTAGTCATGCACCAAAGGATTTGCATCTTTCCTGCTGAGACTCTGCTGATGCTAATGATGCTCGACCAAAATTTATCCTCTAAGCTCGTATCCATCTTCAATGCTTTTTCTCCTAGACGTTTTGAGACTATAAGCTTTACAGTGACCATTTTTGAAAATTTTCACTGTGTCTTTGACGTTTTTTTATGGATCCACCTGAGCCCTGGGTTTTGCGGCTCGAGGCTTCAACAGTGCACCAAAGCCACGCTATCCGCGTAGTTTTTGGTGCTTTTACGCCAGGAAACCACGTAAATACTGATGGTTTTGAGCTATCGAGTGCTCAAAACCACCGTATTTACGGTATTTGCAGCATTTCGCGCACCACGCCCCAAAGAACGTCGATATTTACGCAGTTTTTGCAATGCTGCGACATGTTTGTTTCTAGATCGAAATTTGTGACGGTGAAAGCACTGTAAGTTACAGTGTTTTGCGCCTTGGCGCAAACAGAAAGAAGGCTTCAAAGCTGTCCCTGTAAGGCCCAAATCCAGCTCCTTTCCAGGTCCTTTTTTTACAGTTTGCCTGCTTTCTTGATGATTTTTTCGACCTGCCTGGGTCCCCCCCCAACCAGGCTCAAGGATTTTGCTACATTTCTCGTTTTGCCGTTTTTGGAATCGCTCCAGAGGCAAAAACGGCTCAAAATGCAAGCGAGACCAAATTTTTTTAAAGCTCGATCTCACAAAACACCGGTAAGGGGGGGATAAGCTACACCATACGGCATCGCCGGATAGAATGGGCAGATGGCCAGGTGCCGCAGACCCCCTATGTATGTAGACTACAAAACCATTACAAAACCATTCGTGTAATTGTTTGAATGATCCTTGAAGGCTAGGGTATAGCTTGTGTCCTACAACTGTAACGGTCATTTGAAGGGTTTACTACACAATTTTTTCTAAACAAGCTGCGCCATGGAATGGAATCACTCTTTTTCTCTAGAATTGCATGGGACAAACAAATTGTGCGCTTGCTCACGCATGCAACTTTTCGTGCGATTCTTCGTGCTCACTTTGGCGTTTGCTCGTGCAACTTTTCATGCTATTCTTCGTGCTCATTGTGGGGCTTGCTCGTACATCTTTCCCACTCAGTTGGCAGGTTTTGGTGATTTCAGGTGCTTCCAAGACCAGCTTCAAGCCGAAACAGACCAACCATCGTCATTCTTTTGAGGTGGCCCGCCGCCACATAATCTAAGTGAATTGAGAAATCTCCTCAAAGAAATAGAGCCATACCAGCAGCGCCAAAGGGGTACTTAGGTTAGGGGTGCCCAGTATCCACGCGCTGTCCATCAATGTGATGATGTGGTGAGTGTGTCCCTCCCGAAGTCAGCTGCGGCAGCACCATATAGACCTCGCGAGAGACTGATTGTTTGGGCGCTTTGCCCACACACAAAGACTCCAAAAGAGCCCACTCACGATCGCTTTCCGACGGAGTGGACTTGGCCGTGGAGACTAAACACCACCCGTTGGGTGAAAGGAAGCTGTCGATAGTAGGCCGATATGACTGCTACTAAGTAAGACGGAGTAGGGCCACAGCTTAACAAGGTACCTTTGTCTAGTTGTCATCCATGGACTTACCAGGCAGTGGCTCAAAACAGGGGGACCTGCTTGACTGCCGAAAAAGAACAGAACCCAAACACTCCATGGCCACATATATATATATGATTATATGGCACCCCCCAAATGTCTACCTCTTTTAGTTTCTATTTGTATTTGCGGTGTTTTATGCGCATTGTTGATCGTTTGCTTTGGGGGGTAGTACCATACATGCATACATACATCTATGCATACATCCATACATAAACACACATACCTAGATGCATGCGTACATATACCGGTATGTCGTGGATCCTTGGGTCTTAAGTCTTAAGTAGGTCTTAAGACCTCTCAGACTCTCAGGTTCTAAGATCTAACATCTAAGATTCACCAAAAGGTATTGGGAGAATCTTAGAGCTTAGATCTTGGAACCTAATCGGTCTTAAGACTTGCCTAAGACCAAGTCTTTCCCAAGCCCGCTATTTCGCAGTCAAGCACCTTTTTCGTTTGCTTCCGCCCTCCCTCTTGCCCATAGCGTCGCCTGCTGGCTTTCCAATTGCTGGCCAAGTCATGTTGCAAGGCCAGCAGGCAACTTTGTCTTTGGCTGTTGGACCCCATCATCCTGAAGCGGAAATCTTCATGACTCGTCCAACGACTTTCCCAGATTGAAAAGGGAGAAATTCGAGGCCACAGCAGCCGACAGCCGCTGACAAAAAAGGCTGTGAGCAACGCTACGACCTATGACTATGAGCAACATCCAGCATGCTCCGACACATCGGCCTGGAGCCATCTTAGCTTGGGCGTCAACCACAAGGTCATTTGCATGACGCAGAAGCGATTGAATG